CACAATCGAAGTCTCAAAACCCTTTCACGTAGAGAACAATGGGAACCTGACAGACAGGAGGCTCAAGGCTGAGGAACACCATGATTAAGTGTCCAACACATAGACCACCAGCCTTTTTTCCAGGGAGACTTGCAGGATTTAGGGCTTCCAGCTGCCCAGTTTACTCTAGAGAGGGAATAGTGGTCAGGTCACAGAAGAGCACACAGAGGAGGAATAAACTGCTGGCTAGTTGCAAATGAGGGTTCTACTGGAAGTGTGTGACTATGACCATTGGTATCTAAGCAGCAGGATCTACTGGAGTGCTGGGGCACAATAAATCTTCAACTTGAAAGGGTCACAATCCTCAGAAGGAAGAGGTATTCTTGCACCCCACTGAGTAGCTCTCAACTCCTTACTCATGAAGCTCAATGATAAAGCTGTCTGGACAGCATACTGGCTGAAAATGGAAACTTGGAGTATATAATCAGTTATCACTGCTAAATTGGGGCTACTAGTGGCCTTCTGTACCATTGCATATGCTGCAAACCCTGTGTGTAGAGCTTGAAAGTAGAGCACAGATTCACTTTCAGAAATGGCTGGTGTCTGCTCCACTGGACTGTCCCCAATATTTGCTCCACGGGGAAGATGAAGCTAAGATGTTGGACGTGAGCAGGAAGTAGGATGTCTAAAACCTTCTCCCAAGGACTCTCAGACAAACCAGCATTTGGTTCTGGGGTACATCATGGTGAATACAAGGTTTGTGGGGTTAGATAGCTGATGGCAAAGTATAGATGGGGCCTAGAGTCCAAAGCTGGATGTCTAGTTCTGTTCTGACATCAAATTCAGGCCTTCACTCATCAGTGCTTTTTCCTCCTAAAGGCCTTTCAGTATGTTAAATTCTAACCCATTTCCATATTACCCTTATGGTTTTGAAGCAAAGTCACCTCTCTTTGGAAACTAATGTTCTTTTAAGAATTAACTCTTGTGGACAAGTGCGGTGGCTCCTGCCTGGAATCCCAGCACTTAAGGAGGCTGAGACAGGCAGATCACTTGAGTTCAGGAGTTCAAGACCAACCTGGTCAACATGATGAAACCCTGTCTCTACTAAAAATACAAAAATTAGCCAGATGTGGTTGTGGGTGCCTGTAATTCTAGCTACTTGAGAGGCTGAGGCAGCAGAATGGCTTGAACCCAGGTGGTGGAGGTTGCAGTGAGCCAAGATCGTGCCATTGCCATTGCACTCTAGCCTGGGTAACAAGAGTGAAACTCCATCTCAAAAAAAGGAATCAACTCTTGGCTTGCTTAGAGTTGTAAAGCATTATAAAGTGGTTATACATTCTGCTTTCTGGCACAGTCCTACTTTACTCTTGCTGTCCTAATTTTGTTAATAAATTATATGGTCAACTATTTAAGAGGCACTGATGGGTATTTGATCATAGGTTCACCAAATGATTATGCAATCCAAGTTTTAACAGTAAAATATGTGTTGTTAATTACTTTGGCACATGCCCAATAGCAAACCACTGTCAAGTATAAATAATGTAGTTTATGAAAACTAAATGAAGAGTTCCTGAAGACACCTCTGAGTTGAATGAGTGGGTGGTTCACACACATTGTGTGCCTATACTAGGCACAATGATGGCCTTTCTTTAACCCATTCTTGTGGTTTTGTGGGAAGTTTTTTTTT